TTGTAAAATTATTATAAGATCATTTTAAAAGCAGAGTTAAAACAGTCATAGCACAACACCGATGAACAAAAACAAACACAAATCAAGTGCCTAGTATAGGTAAAAAAGGATGAATATTAAAAAGATAAAATGCTCCCTGTTTTATGGAACTTATAAATGGCATTTCTAATCCAAAAGCAAGTAACAGTTGAGTGCCATTAGTTTGCATATTAAGGTATACTTTGCTTTATTAAAAATAAACTATATTCCTGAAAACTACATATAAATGAAATGTATGTAAAATAAACTTTCTAATTCACTAGGCAAGTTTCACTATTTGAAGGAATCCTGTGAAACCATGCCTTGCCTTAATTTCCTCTCTCAGGCAAAATTAGATGAAATTTAGTCTTAGGGCAAGAACACACTGTTCTGAGAGACCTCAAACTCAGATAAATGCTCACCGAAAATGTAATGTAAATTAACCACAACCCCAAAGTCACTTTGTTCTGGGATTCAGTTAGCTAGCATTCTAACGATGCTGTAAGAAAATTTATTTTGTATGCTAAGCCTCATCTCAGATACATGCTCATTTCCTCCCTAAGAAGTAAAACCCAAAAAAGAAAAAAAGACTGGAAATGACTGTCAATCAAATGTATGCATTTATGTTTCTGAAATGATTACATACTTGAATGTGCATATGGACATATGTCTGGATGAGTAACACTGCAGGTGTACCACCTGCACTAGGTCTGAACTGAGAATTGACATTTGGTTTGAACAAACACAGCTGCACTTAGCTGAGTGCCCAGTCAGCCATTTAAACACACGCCAATGCACAAATCTGGGCCCACATTTGGGTACACCCAGATGTAGCATATGTTAAGAGAATCAAACATAAGAGTTAAAAATTAGTTCTAGACTATTATGTACACATTAATACTATTACTAAGAACTTTATTTAAGAATAATATAGACTGAAAGATTTCAGTTATAGTCCAAGAGAAGAGAAGCCAAGTCATGGTATTCCAAGACAGGTAGAGCAAAAGAAAGTGCACTGGACTTGGACTCAGGACCTGGTATATTATTCTGACTCTATTATATGTACAACCTTGTCTCTGGGCCTAACCCACTGAGGCCCAAGAAGGGAAGTTTTCTTAATGTCCCAATAAGTTGCCAATTCTTGTCAATGCCACCTCTACATTTAATGGGTATGTCATCATTTTTTGACTCTTAGGGCCACCACACTACTTTAATTCTGGTCCTCATCCCCCCTCTCCTGAACTTCCTTAACAACCTCCTAAATGTTCCTCCTGAATCCTGCCTCTCCCCAATCCTACTCCAAGTGGGAGCAGATGATCTCTGACAGACAGACTAACAAGCACCTAACTGTCCTTTCAAAGTCTCAAAAAAGGATCTAATTCAGTTAACACTTTAAAATCTCCTACCCCTTAGCCTTATGCTGTATCTGAAGTTTTACATTATTGTGGCTGCTTTTCATTTACTCTTCATATCACAAAACATTAAACTTTCTTCTTCATTCCCATTAGAATGGGAGGTCTTTTAAACCAAAAGAAAAATACTCAAAATGGTATTGTTATATTCTAAATGATCAATCAACAAACATTTATTAAATGCTTACTATTTACTAGGCATGGGCAATTCAAAAACAAAAGTGAAATCTTGAGAAGGCAGAGAGGACACTAAGAGTTAAGGAGATAAGGAAAAGTGTCACTAACACAGGAGGTGGCAGTGTGGTTGGGACTCAAGGAAAGCTATGGACACTAAGAGATGGAGAAGAGGAATACATTCCAGGTATGGGGACAGACAGTAGAAAAGTGTTCTTAATGAGAAATAGTAAAGAGGACAATTTAGCTGGAATGTAGAATAAGTCAAGAAGAAAGATCCGTAATTAAGGCAGTGTTACTTATATCTGCTCCTTTTGGCTACTGAAATTGTTTGATTCCATAAACTAGTGTGACAATTTCTGGGAGATGTGTGTGACAGGTCTTTGGTATAAAAAAAGCCACATTTGACTTAAATATGAATCATATTTGAGGTTTAAATTACTTAATAATTTGTTGTTGTTTAGTAGTGTAGGACTCCTGGTGACCCCATGGACCACAGCATTCCAGACCCTTCTATCATTCTCCACTATCTACCAAAGTCTGTCCAAGTTCATGTTTGTTGTTTCCATGACACTATCCATCTCATATTCTGCTGTCCCATTTTCCTTTTGCCTTCAATCTTTCCCAACATCTGGGTCTTTTCCAACAAGTCCTATCTTCTTATTATGTGGCCAAAGTTATTTAAGCTTCAGCTTCAGTATCTGACATTCCAGTAAATAATGTGAATTAATTTTTTTAAGTATTTACTGATTTAATCTTGCTCTCCAAAAGACCCTCAAATGTCTTCTCTAACACCATAATGTGAAAGCACTGATTTCTGTGGCTCTCAGCTTTCGCTATAGTCCAACTCTCACAGCCATACATTGTTACTGCAAAAACCATAGTTTTGACTATATGGACCTTCATTAGGAGGGTGATATCTCTGTTTTTTAGTATGCTGTCCAGATTTGCCATAGCTTTCTTTCCAAGGAGCAAGCGTCTTTTAATTTCATGGCTACAAAAGCTGCCTACAGTGATCTTTGAGCCCAAGAATATAAAATCTGACACTGCTTCCATTTCTTCTCTCTCTATTTACCAGGAAGTGATGGATCCAGCTGCCAAAATCTTAGGGCTTTTATTTTTTTAGGTTAAACTTCAAGTGAGCTTTTTTACTCTCTTCTTTCACCCTCATCAAAAGGCTTCTCAGTTCTTCACTTTCTGCCATCTTAATGGCCACTTCTGCCATCAGAATAGTATTGTTTGCATATCTGAGATTGTTATTTCTCCTGGCAACCTTAATAATGGCTTTTGATTTGTCTATCCTAGCATTTAGCATAATGTACTCTGTATATAAGTTAAATAAATAAGGTGACAATATACAGCCCTGTCATACTCCTTTTTCCAATTGGTTTTTAAATGGTGGTGTTCTTGGGTACTCCATAAATAGTTCTAAGATCTTTTAATAAATGAGAGGCCCTATGCAGCAATGATATTTTGAGGGAAAAAAGTCAAGGAACATGTAATGCACTAACTCCTAAAGCAAAAATTTTAAACTACTCAATAAAATTTTACAACTATAGATCCAAACTGAAGAGAAATCTTGGTCTAGGAGTTTGCCTCTGCTTTTCTTTGCCAGGCCTTATTATCTAAGATTATCATCAAAGACAAGCTCCTAACCTTAGAGATAACTACATTAAAGATGTTTTATTTCTTATCTAAAGGTTTTTTACTAAGATCTTTTCAAAAAAACATTTTGATAAATGTATTTCAATGTATTTGGATTCCTTTGTAATCCTTAGTATTTTATTGTATGTATTTAAAAACAGTATTCAGAGAAGAGAGTCATTGGCTTGATACCCACCCTAAAGTTGTCCATAGCAAAAAAAAAAAAAAAAGATTAAGAATCAATCTGTACAATCCCTCAAATAATTAAGTTAGATCTCACACAAACAGGATAAAAAAATCCATTATGGAGGAGCCTATAATAGAAGACAAATTATAAAAAACAACACTAAGTGAAAGAAAGCTTTTTCTATTAGTCCGAAAAAGAACTAAGATACAATTAAGACTAATAGGAAAATGTGAATAAAGGAACAGAAAAACTGAAACTTGAAAATAAAATACCAACAGTATACACATCTACTACTCCATGACAGTTATTTACAGTCACAAAAACATTCAAATTTTTAAAATGTAGCTATTGGGCCATACTAAGTACTAACTGAAATGATTCTTCAGAGAAAGCTATTTAAAAAAGATCAGTAACATATTTAAGAAATCCAATTAAGATCTCAATATAGCAAAGTATAGAAATGACAGAATAATTAATTTTTACAAAGCCTGTGTATTTTTCCTAACATAACACTACAGAAAATACCTGCCTGCTTCATACTACATAAAATTTAGTTTTAGGAACTAAAAAAGCTGACTAAAAGTATTATCACTAAAGAATATATACCAGACTAGGAATCTAATTGGTTTCCACTCTAACATTAAGTAGCTATGTGACCTTCGGTAAGTCACTTGATCTAAGGCTCAAGTTTTTCATCTAAAAAGAAACTATATGAACTCTAATCAAAGGTTTCTCCCAACTCTATCCAACAGGACACAATTTTTATTCACAGAAACACAATCCTTAATAAACAAGATTATAAATGACTGGTTATAATTATAAATGAGATCAACAAAAAATTCAAGTACATATTGATAGTTTTAACCCACAAAGTTGAGCCTGAGTTAAATGCCTACAATTTTTTTTAAATGAAATTCCACATCTTAAGTAAAATCATGGTTGTTCTCATCAATTGTGAAAGTACTATGAAAACTAATAATACTTAAGGAAATCACATCACAGAAAATCAATAATGTCACTGGCCTAGTTCATTTTCAATCAAACTATCATAACAGAAGTAATATTTCTAAATGACACCTGGGCTAAAAATGCTATCTTCAATTTTCATATCTTAGCTGTATAAAAATAATCATACAAATATAACAGCTAAGGTCATATTGTTGAAGTAGCTAAGGCTGTATATTTAAAGTTTTGAAATTTTATTTGTAGTCAGTCCTTTCAGTTGACTAACACTGTAACAGTTTAAATTCTCTTAATTTTGGCTTATATTATTTTAAAATGTCAAAAGTTACATAGAGTTATAGCATTGCAACTTCTGCAAATTTTTCACCAAAAAAACCAACAACAAAAACAACTAACTATTCTGATGTAAATTTTTTGAATAATACTTTAAAACTATCGTTCATAAAATAAAATTTGTCATCTCCAAATGTATTTAAAATGTTCTGTTAATTAATTTAAATTCAGTGACAGAACACATACATAGAAGGAAATAAAGAAATAAAAGGGTATATATTTAAGAAACAAGACCATTAGGCAAAAAGAATAAAGAAAATTTAAGTTACCCTTCTTGGATAATAAGCATTAAACTCATCTCCAATACGTCGTAATTCTTGTGCAATCCAAATTTCTGGCCGCATATCGGCAGGTATTGATTGAGACTGCCTCATGGAAGCTGTATCAGAACAAAAAGAGAAGTTTAACATTTTCTAAGATACATATAAAACAAGATACAAGAATTAGAGAGAATGCTAACATGCCATCTTATCCAAGGCCTTTAAGACACCTAATACTAATGACCAGGGTTCCAGAAAGAAAAACTAGTATGTCACTACCTATTGTAAAACTTAGGTTCATATAGAAGGGTTATGCATTACCTGTTTTAATGTTTCAAAACTCAGGGTTTGAAATAACAGAAGTTAATAACATTCTCACAGGCCTCCCATTTTGGAAAGATCATGACTGTCCAAGTGTGTTTCCATTTAATTATACTTGAAAAATACTGAAAGATTGCTTAGGTATAGAAAGCATATAGTCTTTGCCAATGCTACTGTGAACTCAATGAAAACAATATAATTTTATGTTTGGTCTACATGATTTAAAGTAGTTGATAAGCATTCATTCAATCGTACAAAATACCATACACACTGGGTATAAAAGCAAAGTCATTTTTCAAAGGACAGAAAAGAGGGAAGTTAGACCTTTCATTAAGCTGTCACTGACATTTATACCAAGTAAATTTATTCATTTGTTAATGAAAACATTAAAAGCTATGTAGCAGCCAAAAAATGGGGAAGAACCCAAATGTGAATCACCAAAATATCCCACTACACACAAGACATAATGTTCTTCTCATATAGCATAGATTTTTAGAAGAAAAATGTTACAACACAAGAGCATCTTTTAACATAATGAGTTTAGGCAAAAATTGAGGATTCCTGGTTTTTACTGCTTTTCTTGTCATGACCTACATAACTCACTTATAAAAAGAGACAAATTAGGAAGTATTAGTTCTCATCACTGCAAAGCACTCAAATCTTGAGATAAAGCACTGCCAAGTGCAGTAATAAGATGATACAGAATGTCATGTCAGCACTGATTTCCATGTTTATATAATTTCTAAAGAAGATCACTTTTACCTTTCCTTTCAATCCCCTTTACGGAACATCCAAAATAAATACTGACTGAAAATGCAAGCTCTGGAATCAGAGAGCCTGGGTTCAAACTCCACCTGACATTTACTACCTATGTGACTGACAGCAAGATGCTTAAACTTCTGGGCTTCAGTTTCTTCACCTGTAAAATGAGGGAGTTGAACTAAGTTCAATTCTGAGTCCCCTTTCTTACATCTAGAATCATGTAAAAAAAAAGATACAAAAAGATAATGCCAACATGACATCTTATCCAAGGTTTGAAGATACTTAACATTAATAGCCAGAATTCCAGAAGGTCTAACATACCACTACTCATTGTATCTAGGTTAGACTACTGGCTACAAATGGTCAGTTTTAATTTCTCAAACTTCAGGGACTGAAATAGCAAAAGTTAAAAATACTCTTAAACAATTCCCATTTCAGAAAGGCCATGATTGTCCAAGGTCCATTACCATATAATTACACTTGAAAATATTAGGAAAACAAGTGACAGTAAGTTAACATAGATAAAATACTTCACAAACCATAGAGCTCTATGTAAATACTAGCTATTATGACTATAAGAAACATGGGGGGAAATGAACATATTTTCTCAGGATTTTTTTAAGTTTAATGTAGAAACATAGCCGTCTTATCTCAAAGTTCTATGAATAACATTCAAAATCTATTTTTATCATTGTGTTTGGGCTTATAAAGACTTATTATAATTACTATACAAGTAATGGTAATATTCGAAGTATGGGAAAAATACATGATTATTGGCTGAACTATAACACTGGAATATTGGTCTAAAATAGCATCAGCAGGTTAAAGGCTTCTAAAATAGCTCCTCTGAATACGGATTGTTTCGTTTTTGTCTTTGCACCTCTAGTGCTGAGAAGCACCAAAAAACATAGTAGGCACTTAATGAATGCTTACTGAATTAAGCTGATTTATAGGATGATATGAGTAAGAATTATACCGGAAAAGAAGGCCTGGAAAGGTGATCTGTACAAGTGAATAAGGTATCCACCCTGAGATAACAAATACGTTAAAATATAGGGATAAAAGAGAAATCAAAATAAAACCATCCATATATATTTGCAGAAAATGTTTTAAAAAAAGAATAGAAAAAAGTCCTTAAGGAAATTTAGATATGTCAGTAAGATTTAAGGAAGGAAATATTTAGATTGAAGTCATCTGGGTTATACTAAATTCAAGTAAGTCATTTATTATCATAAAGTACACTTTGCAAATAAAAGTTAATGTTTTTAGGTTTATAAAGACCAATTACAACTAAAAAGGACACCTGATAGAAAACTTCATAGCAGAAATATAAACCAAATGACCTGACAGGTTAATTTCCTTTCCTGGTGTTCAAATCCTTTATAAATATAGCCAAAATACTGATATGCCAAAATCATTACTATTCTTTTTAGAATTCTTATGTCAATCAACTACTGGTTCCTCCACATTATGTGCTATGTACTATCTCTCTTAATATTGTCACTTACTTTGCCTGTAAAAAAGACTAAGCTAGTACTAAAGAAAAAGTACACTTATAAAACAGATATGAGAGAGCAAAAACTGTGGGCTGGTTTAACAAATGTTTAGTATGCACATGCATTAAATCCTTTTTTTAAAAGTTTTTTCTTTAAAAAATTAATTTGTCCTTCTATCCACCCACACCAACAAATAAAGCTCTCAATATACAGTTACATACATAAACTAGCAAAACCAATTCTCACAGTAGCCATGCCCGAAACTGTACATCTTTTTCTGCATTTTAAGTACAACCCCTTGGGTCAGGAGGTGAGTACTGTTTTACATCTTTATTCCTTTGGACTTGCAGCTTATCACTGTGTGGATAAGTCTGTCAAAGTTGTTTTTCTCTATCATATTGTAATTACTGCATGTATTGGTCTACTAAGTTCTGTCCACTTTGCTCTGCATCAGTTCATAGAATCTTCCCAGTTTCCTCTGAAACTGTCCATTTCATCATTTTTATGGTACAGTAACATTCCATCACATACTATAGTTTGTTTATTTATTACCCAATAGGACCCCTGGTATCCAATTTTTGGCCACCACGAAAAGAAGTGCTATAGATATTTTTGTGTATATAGATATAGGTATTTTTTTCTTCTTTCTAGCATTCATTAGGTTTTAATTAAATTATAAATTCTATGTGAGTACAGATCAGGGAAAATACTGCCTAGTCTTCTCCAGACCCTAGATGAAACCATTTTGAATTTCTAATCAAAAATGTTATTTAAGTGTGTTGTTTTGTGAAGACTAGTCTGATCCATAAGTGGAAGCATCATAAAACCAGGCAGTTCATATCACAAGTTAGTTTATAAAAAGTTGCACATAACCAGGCAGTCACTGTGTATAAATTTTAAGAAGTATCTACACCCAACAATAACAGGACCTAAATTCAAATCCAAGTTCTGTTATTTATGTGTGACCTTTGGGCAAATCATCTCTCTGGGCCTAAGCTTCTTCAATTATAAAATAAGTGAATTGAAACAGATTGAACTCTAAGTTTCCTTACAGATTTATAAACCATTTCTTATAACCTAAAAGACTAATACTGGAGGGGGGACTTAAGGATCATCTAGGCCAACCTGCCCAATTTGGTAAACGAGGAAATTTTGGGAAAGTGTAGAGTACATTAAAGTAGAAATTGATGTTAATGAAAATTAGCCATAGGTTTTTCATGTGCTCATGAACACTGTAAGTTCAGACCTACAAACACTGCAAGTTTCTTCTAAACAAAAAGAAAAAAAAACCAGGAGACCAAGGAATAACAAAAGGAAAAGAGATGCCATATCTTGGATTTCTATGATAACTCTCTTTGTGATAGCTGGCAAAGAGACTGACAAGAAAAGGAGACATTAATAGCTGTGAAAAGCTAGAAGGACTTTTTTTTTTTAAATGCTGCCCTGATCTGAAATGAGAAGTTAAAGTTCAAACCTCCCCAAATGTGCTATCTTCTAAGGGAAAACACTTGAGTTGAGATAGGTTTAACTGTTATCACTAACATTTATGGATTAGTTTAAAAGATACCAAAGTGTTTGCCTCTCTTAAAACACGCTTTACAAAACAACCAACTTTACCATGTAATATAAGCTGTCAGACTAAGCAGGTTAGTGGATAGAGGGGTAGGATTGGAATCACAGAGACCTAAATTCAAATCCCAATTCAGTCACTTAGCAGCAGTATGACCCTACGTAAGCCACTTAAATGCTAGGGAATCATCTTAGACACCTAGAGGTTATCTACTAAATCACACACAGCATGTGATTTGGGATGTAGGGAATTTCTCATACAGGTGTTCCCTATGTTGAATATGTTTATTCATATATTCATGAAATATTAACCCTTAGCTATTTGAGTAAAGCTTTATTTTGACAGAAAGCAGAGATGCATGTTAACCAGTCTCAATTAACCACATTTATGGCAAAGGCCTGTTAGTGTGGACTGACAAGACAAGCAAGACACCTGACACCACCTGGTGGCAGCACACCCTAAATGCAGCTCCGTTCTTCTGAATATTAAATCAATCTTACGAAATTTGAATGTACAGGTTTATAAAGTGATGCCATCTGTTACATTCCTGCTGAATTAAAGATAGGAATGTCTGAAAAGAAAATAATTTTTAAATTAGTATCAAAATTAATACAGTACATACTTCAAGAACTAGTTCTTCTGAATAAAAGATTTCATAAACAAAAAAGAAATTTTCATATTATACAGATGATATCACTATGGCACATTCTTGAGGGAAAAAAATCCCTTAACCTTTTCCTTAACCCCATTCAAGAAAGTTAAATTCAAGTAACAGTACATATGTAGTAAGAGAATAAATTTAAAAAGATAGAAAAGAGAATAGATCAAGCCAGAAAACTAGAATTGCTCAATTGGTTAGAACAAGATGCCAATATTAAAAGTTTTCATCCTCTTAAAGTTCAGTTTTATTCTATTCCACAGTTACATATAGCACCTGTAAGCATGGCTAGACTTTGGACAAATGGGACCT